CCCCCCCCCCCACTCCCCGGGCCTCCAGTGGAGTACGAACTAGCCCGGGGCATTGAAGAACTCTTGGTGGCTCTTGGAACTGTTCACTGTCACCTGTTTAGGGGACATCGCACCCATAGGTTGCTTATGCTTCAGCTTTTCCCACTGCATTTTCAAATCACTGTTAAAATCACACAGTCATTTATAAACGAGGTAGGTTGTCTGTCACCAAATGGCAAGTGCCATTTTGATCCACCCTCTCAATGTACTCACTCAAGTGGACATGAATAAATGCTATCGTTACATACATCGTATGGATGGGGAGACCTAGGGATTATAGCTCAGCAACCAGGGCACTCAAGTTCCAGCCTTGCCGTTTACTGGCCGTGTGACCGTTGCCAAGTAGGCTTGTGCTCTCAGGTCCCTCTAAGGATCCCTTCCTAACTGTTGAATGGGACTGATGTAAGACCCTCAGTCCCATGGCGTCCTTGTGACAGTTAAGCGAGACAATGCCAATAAAATATTGAGTACCATCTCTGGCTCATGGCGAATGCATCGGAATCATTACAGTAGCTGTTTCTCCTCTGCCCCATCTTCCTTCTCCTGTTCCTTCCTCCTTCTTGCCCTTCCTTCCGTTCCGTCGTCATCATCATCATCATCCATGCCCTCACCACCATCTGTACGTGATGCGTTCACTCTCCAAACCTACGTGTTTTTTTTTGTTTGTTTTTTGTTTTGGTACGCAGGCCTCTCACTGTTGTGGCCTCTCCCGTTGCGGAGCACAGGCTCCGGACGCGCAGGCTCAGCGGCCATGGCTCACGGGCCCAGCCGCTCCGCGGCATGTGGGATCTTCCCGGACCGGGGCACGAACCCGTGTCCCCTGCGTCGGCAGGCGGACTCTCAACCACTGCGCCACCAGGGAAGCCCCCGACGTTTTTTTTTTTATCAGAGTTGCAGTTGTGTTCGGTTCAGTGCAGACTGGCTTTTCTCCGCCAGACCTGCTTTCCTCCGTCCCTGAGGTCAGCGTCTTCTATAAATACAGATTACAGATGGAGTGAGTTGTAAGCCTTAGGGAAAGGGTGTGAGGTTAGCAAGGGGTGCCGTGGCCCTGTGAACAGAATCCTTTCTCGATGAACCTTAGTGGACAGACTATCATTTTTTTCCTGTTTGGGGAGTAGAGAAATTTTAAAGCTTTTACGTGAGTTGGAGTTTTAACCTTTTAAATTCCTAGCAGAAAGTGTTTTATGTAACAAGTACAAACTTAATGCATGTGGAAAAATAAAAAGTATAGGGTTAGGTGTTCATGGTAAAGAATTTAAAGATGTTCTAAAACTAAGCCTCAAGGGGTCAGTGGGATATGACTTTAGTTTTTCTAGAACCCTGTTGGATTATTTAATCTTCTACCAGTATAATGAACTTTTTTAAGGTACCTTGTAATAATATTTATCCACCTCACGTGGATTTAATTATCCAGATAAACGACTGATGGGAAGCTGAAACTGACACATCTTCTAAGAATCTTTCAGTGTGTGAGAAAAGTACCCTCTTTTTAAAATGAGACGTAAAAGTTTGGCCACGTTTCTTTACCTTGTCTCAGTTGGCAGCCTTGTCAAGAACATAAGTTCATTGCAGACCTTCGGTAGCTGACGGTTCAGAGCATCTTTTCAGGCCATTCCCTTTTCCTTTGAGTCGTCTGCCAGCCCCACCAGACGGTCGGAGGGGAAAGACTCCTCTAATCCAGTGTATCTGGACATGTGAACTCTCACAGTAATTCCTGCGTTTCTCTGTGGTTGGAAAATGCAGACGTTCCAAGATGCCTAATTTGTGCTTCTATATATACTAACTTTGTATTTCTAACGTGTGGGCAGGCTTCCTGTAAGACCGGAAAAGGGAAAATCGCTTTTCCCCTCAGAAGGACATCTGTAAAATTTTTATTGCACAACACTCTGTTATACTTGGGTAGGCAATGTTGCATCTTCACAAATTGCACTTAGGCGGGATTCAAAGTATTTTCGGTTTTGTGGGTTTCACTTAAAAAAAAAGAAAAAGAAAACCCCAGGATAGCGGGCACTTCAAACATTTGCAACATGTGTTTGGAATAAAATCCTCACTGGGGGATTGGGGGGTTTGTCTCGCCAAGGGTAGCTGTGGATGGGGTGTATGTCAAGGCAGGAAAGTTGATGTTCAAGCTGCATGGCTCAGACCTGGGGTGGTGCTGACAGGCTGGCTGCTGCAGGATCACTAACGCTTTATAATTGGGGAGAGCACGGGAGGGGCCAGATTTGGGGAATCTGACCTACTTGTCCTGGAGTCAGGATAAGGATCCCCATCTCCGGCCCAAAGATTTCTCAGCAGTTTTATTCTACTCCTGCTTCATCTGTAGCCAGATATTTCAAACCACCATCACCCCCGCGCCTTCACTTAACCACTGTGCATTTCTTCTTTTATAAACTTACAAGGCAGGTGACATAATAGTTAAAGCATTCCTGTACCCTGGCCGACACTTAACTTTTATTCTCTTCCCCATTACAGAAAACATGTGTTGCATTGTCTTCTGTCTCACTGTGCGGAGCCCAGTTTTTTAACAGTCCCTGCA